ATAAAAACTAATTTTCTTATTTATAAAGCAGTAACTCGGTGTGGGTTTGTGTGCTTGTCGGTTTGTTCGGTTTGTAGGTCTGTCCTCCGCAAAACTTTGTGAATACGATAAGGGTAGTGATATGGGAAACCCAGCTCTATCCTAAATCTCCTTTGTATATGTTATGGAACAGTAAATTGGTGGGGAGGTTGATGTAGAAGACTACTCAGCCGGCGGCATCGATCACGATTCAGTTGTAAACCATGGGCAAGCGCCGCCCTCGGCTGGCGTACTATGAAAACAGCCAATCGAGTAAGTACTGCAGAGTGAAGTGAGTAATGTGAAGCGGATATTCCAAAGCTGTGATCTCGATCCATACTGGCACCTGCTATGTATGTCTATACAACCAAATGAGTCAATTGAAAATTCAGTTCGTACCCCATCCTAGCTTTTTGCACGAGGTAATCACACCAGCCCGGCGCTCCTCACCTCGGGCTTACGATTAGATTGACTAGAACCATACAAAGCACAGGTAAGGTCAGCTGACTGATGCAAAATGAAATGGTTAAGCCACTAGTTACTGTTTAACAAAGGCGTTATGGTTGCTGAACTATTGAAACGTTGATAGCTGAACATATACCATTTCATCCTTTCAGTTATCAAACATTTGATAACAACTGCAGCGGAACCTTTTCGGTCACGAAGATGTTTTGCGGTGATGAAGAGCGGTTGTCCATGAGATGGGAGAGCAGCGGGAAATCGCTACATTCCGCTACTGGCTTAAGCGCTCGTGAGACATGTTTAGGCGTCAGTGTTGGCGCAACTTAGGGAACCGGCTTTCCTTACTAGTATGACAGATTTGGCGGTTTGCGTGGTTCTGCGATACGGTAAGGTATACGGTCACAGCAGATCATAATCAAACCGAATTACTGTACCACAAACTCATGCGTACTTCGCGACCTGATCGTGTACAGGTGGTGGGACGGATTAGGAAGTAGACCTGGGCTCTAGCACTGACACAACAGCTTTTATTGGCTGTCCGCCTCATTGGGGGCTATCATGGGATGTACGGTACGGTGAATGCTAGCCAATCTGATATCTCAAGACAAAATACCTCAACTGATCCACTTGTGAGCCTTCCACAGAACTCAACCCGCGAAGTTTTCTTGGTGTTTCTTCCACACTTTCAGTTCCTCCTTTACGATTGCTTTCACGTTTTACAGGTGACCAAACCCTACTTTCGACTGCGACACTGTCGGATTCTGATTTAACATGCGTGGTCTTCTAAAAAATGGTTAAACGAGGAAATTGCCGTCATTTTTCCGAAAAATTGTTGACGGTAAATACCTCTGTAGTGGAAGATCTATAACAGAAGTAGATGGTAACAGCGATCACGATCAATGCAACTGGTATTAATAGCAGTAAAATCCAGTACATCACTGAAGCAATGTTTCGACCGTAGCTCACTCGGATGGAAGGAACGAAAACACTCACTCTTCTGCTCATTGGATGGTCATGCTGTTTAATGAAACACCCTGAAGTTGAATGAGTTGATTTTCTCGGAAACTTGTAATGATAACAGTTGAAGCAAACAACCGCATGGATGGACAGTTCGTGAATCCGATTTTGCTTGTTGATGTTCTTCTTGCTTATTCGTTTGATTAAGAGATTGATTGTTCACAACCTCATAAATCCCACTACTCTTGACCTGAGCTTCGAATTCGGAAAGGAGCCTAAAAGCAAAGAGCGAATTTGGACAGGGAGGGTCATAAGGTTCAATAAGCTGTCGAGATGGAGTGTTGGTGGATCTTCGATATTTTTTCCTAGGAACTTTGTTTCCGATGGGAATGTTTTTGTCTGAATGAAATATTACTACGATATAATTACTACATACACTGGTGTGCAAAACTTAAGGACGAAATGGATAAAGTAACATAGAACATTGAGGACTGGGTGGAAATAAATGAAAGTGTGGGATTACATTGCCAGACCTATGACGTTTATGCACA